CTATAGTTTGGTGTGTTCAAATTTATCTCAACCTATCTCAACGAGGAGAAAACACTATTTTAAATACGTCCGCGCTTTGTCAAAAAAGAAAAAATGTCGTCAAAATCGAGTTCAAAATGCATGTCTTTTCCTCAACAATCGCTTCGTTCATTTTGCAAGTGAAATAGATACCAATTCTAGCAATATAAGCTGATACTAGATACTTCAATAAACATTTATAGTATGTATTTGAGGCAGGAAGTGATTTCGTTTAATTGATAATTGAAAATTTGTGTTGTTTAAATATCGTATTATCTGCATAAATAAGTATTGTATATAGTCGCAAATCTATTGTCGTGTGGAGTATACGGAAAACTATAAAGGCTGCAAGATATCTCCGTTTTATGAAAAAAGCCCAAAAAAGCCCCGTTCAATTTTACTTGAGACATAAAGCCAAGTTAAATGTCTATAGTTTGGTGTGTTCAAATTTATCTCAACCTATCTCAACGAGGAGAAAACACTATTCTAAATACGTCCGCGCTTTAAATTTTGCAAATATTTTCATCGCTCGAGTAAAATTTTTGCCCTGATATTTTCTTTCAACGAGTGTTCAGTAACAAACAACACAAGCTATTACATTTGATATAACTTATTAAATAATATTTCAAATTTTAATTAATGAAACATAATTACTTAGCATTTAAATCCTTTGTTTTCTCGTTTGTTTGTTTACATATTTTTGTTGCCATCTTGTACGCGATTTTTTGATTTTTTTAGAGAGCGCGCTCGCGCCAATCCTAATGTGCATCACACGTAGCACGGTCATTTATTAGCGCGTTTCCCCGCCCGTGTTTTATAGCGCCCTGGTTTTAGTGATGGACAACCATTTCAAGTTGGTGAAAATTTCAGCTGACCGTGTTTCGCAGGTTCACCCAGTAATAATCCTCGCTGATCGCTTTTGCAACTTAAAAGCCTATCAGGTACAATAAAAAAGGACACATCCATTAAACTACTTAAATATTTACAGCCATTGAACTACTTCTAAATTGCTACATAAGTGGTTATGTCTACGACATTGTACAGTTACAATTTCTATACATGATATCTTCAGAATTCATGCTATTCAGTTTAATGAGAAACGAGATAGCTCCACCAATGAGAGAAATCAGCGATAAATTCAGTTGCAATGAATATCCTCGCGACACCAACCCGGGCGTCCTTCGTTTTAAAAACCGAAGAAAATTTCTCAACTCTTCGCCTCGAGACGCGAATGTATACTCGGAAAGCGTCGGAGCGCTGTCGGGATCTTTCGTAGACTCGGAAAGCGTTGGAGCGCTGTCGGAACCTTCAGTAGAGGTTGAACCGATAGAATCTTCGGTGTCGCCAAGGGAGTCGATTTCTTGTTTGCCATGGGAATGCGTCCCAGATCTGACAGAATGCACCTCACCAAGAGAATGCCTCTCAGCTTCCAGTAACCAAGGGGAGATATCGTTGATTCGCTCCATAAATTTTCTTTCTCGTCGCTTTATTAGTTCACCCACAACGGTAGGCGCAAGCCAGATGGTCACCACAAATATCAAGTAACAAATAAACGGCGGAAGATGTTTCGAGTGGTATGCACGACCGGAAACGGCCTGGGCCAGCTCATAGCCGTACAGCGGTATCGCGAGTGTCACGATGTTATGCGCGAGGAACCACCACGAGATTCGTTTCCAGGAATTCTTCACCGGCCGCGCGTACAACTGTACGAAAAATGAGACGGCATCGCTTGACGAGTGCTTCCATTTGAGGAAAATGTTTTCGATGATTTTCAAGCGAGCTTCGTAACAACAATACAGCAGTGATAAAGTTCAGAATAAAGCAAGTCCCACACCGAGGTTATAAACAATTGCAATTAGTACAAACCCATATAATATATTATCTACTGGACCATGTACATGGGGAAACTGGGATGACAATTGGCCCCACAGTATATGTGTCACTATAAATAGCGTGCAAAGCATTATGGAGAAAAGCGTCATTGATATGATGACAGCAGCATATAGGATCTTGAGCCTGCGATTTAAATGTTTAGCAATTCCTGTCAGCGGTTTCACTGGCCTGAGGACATTCGTTTCCAGGTCCCTGGAAGCGAAGTAGCGGTTACCAAGGATATGGCCTAACCATATAACTATCTCATGGATGATTAAAATCAGTTCGATATTTAGCCATGGCGATTTCTCTGACTTTGTGGCTAGTATTGAATTACGTATAGATCCAGTGGTCAATAGTAGGAGGCTTACGAACACAGGATAGACGTACTTTTCCAAGAAGCACGCTGACCGCGGTCGCCATAGTGACAGGCGCAGGAGGATGCGGATCACTCGGAAGCCCTTGGAACTAAAGACCAGGGTTGATGTGTTACGATCAGGTTCCTGGATGACTGCAGTGTCCATACTCGTCGAATGAATATTCTTGGTTCATGCAAGTCGGTGGTTTTTTTTATTTCTGAAATACAATCAAAGAATATTGAGCATGGATAGTGATAAACAATCCACGATGAAATTGTTTGAAAAATAAAACAAGAGAACATCTGACTACTAATGCCGTTCTGTTTTGGTACTATTTGTTTCGCGGCCCTTTGGCTTTGAAAACCAGGCAACTGAAAGGCCACCGTGTTTTTCGGCCGCATACCAACCAGGTGATCTCGTGTTCGTATTTTAGCCAATCAGCGCTCAGAAAGGGTTGTCCGAATAGAAATCCATTTTGATGTATTCAGTCAATTATATCTTGCGTTATTCGTCATGAAACTAGTTGAAATTTTGTAATTATGTTTGGCTATGAGAACTATAGCTCTGACAAAAATATGGAATCGAATTAAAGTATATTACAGGAGATATTAAGTTGTTTTAATCACAAAATGGATTTCTATTTGACAACTAGTGCCAGTACTTTTCCGCGTATCAAGATCATCTGGAATGGATTCGTCTCACTTTTCTTTTCATTCTGACAGTACAGTACGTCAGTCGAACCCCTCGAACTCGTTTAACACGAAGTCCCCGCTAACTTGAACTAAATCTACTTCTCCCTGGATTTGACCAAATTTTACAGTACTTTGTAAAGGTTTCACTTAGTTTTATAGAATGAATTTTCTCGTGGGTACTCTAGGGGAAGGATTTTACCCCGCCCTGGCTACGCCTACAAACTACAAACTTGGGAACATTTCAAGTAGTCTTTGTTTACCACAACCGCGTACTAATAATAATGTGGAAAAAAATTTCGTGAATGACGGAGCGCACCTCTGGAATTCTATTCCTAAAGAAATAAGAGAGAACAAATCCTTTTCTTCCTTTCGAAAGAAAATCTATACTCACATTGATTGACAGCTAAATGAAAATATAGATGTTAATATACCTGTATATAGATTATTACTTTAGTTTGTCAGTTCATATAATACTATATATCTTATATAATTTTGTAAATAGTTTTTAAAAATTCAATAATTCACGAGGAAAATACAAAAGAAATGAATGTTTAATCAATGTTTGTAAATCGGATAAAGATTTGTCCTGATTCACATAAACTTCAACTTTGATTTTCTCGGCTTGGACAATGTTTATTTTTAAAATTACTTCGCCAATGAAGTCGTAAGATGGGTCATTTTTTAAGTACGATAAAACATTCGCAAGATCGGCTGCTCATGTTTTATCTAGTACTTAAAATTATTTTCAGTATACTTTTCGCACGCTCCTCGCGGAAATCAGCTTCGGTTGACGGGGTCAGCGTGTTTAAATAAAGTTTTCTATCCATCTATCTAACTCTAATTCACCTATCAAACTAAAACTATTTCTTGTACAGTACTTGTTCCTTTACACATGTTTCGTGTTTGCTATGTACACAAGAGGACGTCTCTCGAAACTAAACTTCTCCAAACTTTGAAAGCTAAAATTTTATTTTCAACCATAACGCAACTCACCTATAGTCTATACCAAAACAGCACAAAATGTGGTAGAGAATGAGCAGAAATCTTCGATATTAGATGATAAATTTACTCGTAGAAAGCGGAAAATTTACATTGCGATATTGGTCCAATTTCTTTACGCTGTCATATGACACAAATATGACGGTATTTCCCCTTGCTGCCATGAGAAATTTATATATTTAGAATATCGTCATCATCAACATGCACGCGTGAGTTTCAAACACTATTTTTTTCAAACAGTATTTTCAAACACAATTCGGAGTCTTTGAAAAACTCATGAGCGTATATCTTTCCAAATTGCACGAGAACACATGCATGCTATTATAATATACATTACACCGTGGCAACTGGCCATGCTATATGCTAATAAACCTGCAACCAAAATAGTTTAAAGTCAATAGGATTTCTATATAGGTTTGAATAAAGTAAATATTTATAAATTTGCATAGCGTCACCAGTTGCTATGGTTAGCTTCGCTTTTCGTTGCTTGTCAGCAAACCTTTTCAGTCCAAGCGCTCCTTGTATTTAATAGTTATATTCAGGTACGATTTTCAATTGAAAGTGTACCAAATGCACCCAACTTCTCTCCCCCCCTCCTCCCCCTCACGCTCCACCTTTCAAATGAAGCAGAGTCGACGAGAATTGGCGCTCAAACGCCAGCGAGAGTTCTCTCTCAACTCTCATCCTCGTTTGACCGAGACTTTAGCCATAAATCGCAAGTTAACATGAGTGTTTCATCAACCTCATATGCCTTGGTCAAACGAGAACAAGAATGGCAGCCGTGAAGCCCTGGTAACGAAATAGAAATCATCTTTCCAAAGATGTATAAATATATAGACAAATTTAAGAAAATCCAACATTGTAGTGAAAAGTGAAAATTTATTCCCAAATGTTTCATATACAATATTTATTAGTATTAGTATCAGTATTAGTATCAGTATCATTATTATCATTATCATCATCATCATTATCACTATCATTATCACTATCATTATTATTTATCTACACCACAAGGCCGTGTTCACTAAGACACCAAATATTAACATAACACATTGTCATTGACATAAATACGAGAAGTCCAAATTAGTTATCTACTTTACTTTCTCTACTACTAACATTACTTTGAATATGATCATCCAGACTATTCCAGTTCACAGCTCCTCTGTAAGAAAAACTTCTCTTGCTGAAGTTGCATGGTTTTGGGCTTATCTAACGAAATATTTACATGCAGATTGCTACGCAAGTTATAATGCGGATTATCGCAAATGTTAAAACATTTGGGTCAAATAATTCGGTGCTAAACCTTTCATTATTTTGAACATCATGATAAGATCACGATGATGCAGAGTTTTAGCAGGGCGCTATAAAACACGGGCGGTGAAACGGAGATAGCGCCCCTGATCTTTGTGTGATGCGCGTACCCCCCGTATACTTTAATTTAATGTCAATAAAAATGGAATTGGAATGTTTATGTAAAAAAGAGCTGAAAAAACTAAAGTAAAAACTGTTTTCTGCACATTCCTAAACAACTTGATGGTTTGAAGACATTGTTGCATGGATTCATTTTCTGTATATCTGATGAAGGAAAGAGGGCTTTAAAAAGATTCATCATGAGCGAAATAAAAATTTGAAAAGGAATCGAGCTGATCGAATGTGGGCATATTCCAAAAATATTATACGAAAATTTTGGTATGAAATGGGATATTTTACTTCATAATGCGAAGGTAGGATAAACATTTTCACAGTAAGAATATTCTGACATTGCTTGGCTATTATTTTTCAATAATTATATAGCCAAAAATTGACCATGCATGCATTTAAAACAGCTAGAATTTGAAAAAACAACTACAATTTGCTCGAACAATTTGAAAACTTAAATATATAACCGTTTTTGTGTTAACCATGAGCCGGCCTGCTCGGAATCCATTGAAAGTTCATTGTAAAGTGTTTTTTACTAATTGATTTGATTTCTATTATTGGTATAACTAACTGCCGCCGACACTCCAAAAATATTCAGTGTGAATCTTTTTTCGTGCGACTGCAGTCGTTGACATTACAGTGACAGTGTTACGTAAAACTATAAAGGCTGCAAAATACCTCCATTTTATGAAAAAAGCACAAAAAAGCCCCGTTCAATTTTACGTGAGACATAAAGCCAAGTTAAATGTCTATAGTTTGGTGTGTTCAAATTTATCTCAACCTATCTCAACGAGGAGAAAACACTATTTTAAATACGTCCGCGCTTTGTCAAAAAAGAAAAAATGTCGTCAAAATCGAGTTCAAAATGCATGTCTTTTCCTCAACAATCGCTTCGTTCATTTTGCAAGTGAAATAGATACCAATTCTAGCAATATAAGCTGATACTAGATACTTCAATAAACATTTATAGTATGTATTTGAGGCAGGAAGTGATTTCGTTTAATTGATAATTGAAAATTTGTGTTGTTTAAATATCGTATTATCTGCATAAATAAGTATTGTATATAGTCGCAAATCTATTGTCGTGTGGAGTATACGGAAAACTATAAAGGCTGCAAGATATCTCCGTTTTATGAAAAAAGCCCAAAAAAGCCCCGTTCAATTTTACTTGAGACATAAAGCCAAGTTAAATGTCTATAGTTTGGTGTGTTCAAATTTATCTCAACCTATCTCAACGAGGAGAAAACACTATTCTAAATACGTCCGCGCTTTAAATTTTGCAAATATTTTCATCGCTCGAGTAAAATTTTTGCCCTGATATTTTCTTTCAACGAGTGTTCAGTAACAAACAACACAAGCTATTACATTTGATATAACTTATTAAATAATATTTCAAATTTTAATTAATGAAACATAATTACTTAGCATTTAAATCCTTTGTTTTCTCGTTTGTTTGTTTACATATTTTTGTTGCCATCTTGTACGCGATTTTTTGATTTTTTTAGAGAGCGCGCTCGCGCCAATCCTAATGTGCATCACACGTAGCACGGTCATTTATTAGCGCGTTTCCCCGCCCGTGTTTTATAGCGCCCTGGTTTTAGTGATGGACAACCATTTCAAGTTGGTGAAAATTTCAGCTGACCGTGTTTCGCAGGTTCACCCAGTAATAATCCTCGCTGATCGCTTTTGCAACTTAAAAGCCTATCAGGTACAATAAAAAAGGACACATCCATTAAACTACTTAAATATTTACAGCCATTGAACTACTTCTAAATTGCTACATAAGTGGTTATGTCTACGACATTGTACAGTTACAATTTCTATACATGATATCTTCAGAATTCATGCTATTCAGTTTAATGAGAAACGAGATAGCTCCACCAATGAGAGAAATCAG